GCTCTCTGGGCTTTCCCTCAGTGCCACCACATAGACAGGGCAGAATTTAAATTAAGACAATACAACACAACATCAACTGTAGAAACTTCCTTGTTGATGCTTTTAAATACAGAAGTATAACTAATTGCAGCACGCTGCTGGAGTTAAAGCCAGGACTGAAGCCTTGGATAAACCAACGGTTAACATCATTTCACCAATCAGGTGTCAGCAACTCATTTAGCTGACCTGGTGTTGACCCAAGTTTAGCTGTATGGGTAGGCAAGGTCAACTATGCCTCTCCTTACACCTGTTAAGCTAAAGCAGTTGATGAAATGATGCTATTTCTCAGCCCAGAGAAGGCAAGAAGAGGCATGTGTCTATTCCTGTGTCAGGAAAAAAGGAATCCTCACACTCTTGCAACACTCCTGGACCATAATGGGAGTTTCCCCCCCAAGAAAAGGCCAAGGAAGGACTGAAGAATTCAATCTTCTGCTCTTTTAAGATGGAGGTTTTGCCATTGTGCAATCAACTGGAGGAGTTTTATGGCTCTGCATGTGGTGATTATCCATATAGAAGGATTAAAATGTGAGAGTGGGGAGTTGCCCAAATCAGTCTTTGTGACAGATTCCCCTGTTCTGGAGAACGGTATTGATATAGAGAGTGACTATCTGTGATGTATGCGGTGAGTATGTTTGTAATTCATTACCTGGGCAAACAGATAACAAGCAAGAAGTTATAGCTCAGAAAAATAAGCCACACTATTCTATGGCCAGCATACTGCATCTATGACCAATATAGCGCACTGATCTGTGGCTGATATATTGCATTCTCTTTCTGGAGGTATAGTACCTCTGAAAGTTCTTACAGTCAATGACAGCTTAAGTCACATAACCTTCAAGCAGTGAAAGTTTGGGAAAATGCCACGCCTATTTAAATAATCAAACAATCATTCCTTACAGTATTTTACAGGGCTTAGCCATGAAAGTTTAGAAATTAAAAGATTTGAGTTAAGCTTCAGCTAAATGAGGGCAGTTCCTCTTATATCCAAGTACCACTAACAACTGGAGCCTGTCAATACTTCTAAATTCTTAGATTCCTAAATCACTTTATGCAAGACTTCCAACAAAATTACAATTTCACACTCAGCAAATAAAAAGGGAGAGATTGAAACAAGTTTGGTTTTCATTACAAGAGACTTGCATGGATATACATATTTTTGCTGAAACTTACTTTATCCGTCTCTCCAGGTGATATTGTAGATAAGCAGCCTTTAGCAGTAGGACAGCTCCCTTATTTTATATTTTTATATATATAAATATAGATATAGATAGATATATAAAAGCAAGACTAATGTGATTAGAAATATGTGAACCACAGATTTTTTCCAGCAATGAGAACCTCTTCCAAGTTGTGCCCTTCGAGAAGTTGTATAGAAATAGAGGAGCCCTGCACTGAGCCAGCTTGCTGGGACCTCTCTCGCTGAAATGAAATCTTACTTCCTGCCTCCACCATAAGGCAGGTTGATTTGTATTCCATGTCAGCAGGCCCACATGTTCACCTTCAAAGGAGTTACAATTTACCATCTCTGGGCTTTTACAAAAATCAATAATATTCCACCTCCTCTTCAAAGCTAACAGCAGCAACAAAAAACAATCCCTGCCCTAAAGATCTTATACTTGTTCTTAGAAATGGTCAGCCAAGAAGTTGTAAAGACTCATTCCCTAATTGCACCACATTTTTTTTTCAAATGCAGGTTGTAGTGGAGAACAATGGGAAAGAAGAGGACTTCTGTTAAAATATAACTGACTTCAGTATGGAGGAAAGAAACAATTAGCCCTCCAAATGTGTTTCATTCACTTTAAGAATTCCATTCCCTGAACATGTATTTCAGCATATTCTGTCCTACTCCAGTTCCATTTAAAAACAGGCCTTTTATAAATTAAGGTTCCAATCTTCCAATTCAGACTATGCAGCATTTCAGTAGGTCTTCTTATGTAACTAAGTTCTACTCAACATGAGCGGTGCAGAATTGCAACCCAAGAAGAAATTGGTGCATTTGAAAATGCATCACTGTATTTATTATTATTAATTATTATTATTATTATTCAAGAGATTTTTATAATCCAATCTAGTTGCTAGCTAGTAGATTAATTTTCCTATACTAAGTAACGAATGTTTGTGAGTCTCAATTTGCAGTGCTGCACAAACACAAATCATTAGTTAAAAGATTATTAAACATCAATATGAAACAATTTCTCTCTCTCCATTTGCTAGACATTTTTGGATGAGGAGGGAGAAAAAAATAAATAAATCTTTGGCTCGGAGACACAAGACTCCCAAAGTGGCAAAGAGAATCCTTATGACATTCTAAGAAAAATCTTAGGAATTTATTTCCTGTTTGGATTAGGGAAAGCAATGCTACTCCATCAACAGCATAGTGCTGAACCTGGGATTAAGTAAAACATACCCAAGTAGCTAATTAGTAGGTTCAGTCCAGAGGATTTACCTGGAGAGCATAAAAGATCTCTAAATGGAAGACATGCACAAAACAGGCAACACTGTGGGTCCGTCTATACTTACTTCCTGGTCCAGATGTAAGCGATCAATCTTCTGGGATCGATTTATCGCATCTTGTTTAGACGCGATAAATCGATCCCGGAAGTGCTTGCCGTCGACGCCGGTACTCCAGCTCAGCAAGAGGAGTACGCAGCATCGATGGGGGGAGCCTGCCTGCCGCGTCTGGACCCGCGGTAAGTTTGGACTAAGGTACTTCGAATTCAGCTACGTTA